TGGCCTTAAGGTTCGCAGACCCATTTGTAACCACTAGCTAATAATATCCACAGTTTACTAATTATTTACAAGCTTTCTTTGTGTTGTAAACATCTGACTTTCATATATTCCATGGTTACAAACCAATTCCCATAAAGCCTATTACATTAAAAATTTGAGGTACTTATGATGGCTTATAATAGTAAATGTGTGCTACTTTGTGATGTGCATCAAAACATTATTATTCTGTTAAATCATAATAAAGGTGTTTTAGTGTGTCTGGAATTGTTTCTTCAACACTTTTTATGCATAGAAAGGTATAGTATATAGTATATTCTAAGACAAACATTTGACTAAATATTGTTAGATACTAACTATGCCTAACTGTCCTAACATACCTGTAAATTTGTATTAAAGACAGAATTAGGAACAGAATTTGTTAATAATCTGGGGTCTGCCTGTACTATGTGCCGGGTATAACACAAAGTCTTTAACGTTGTTGTTGTTGTTAAGTGATGTCGAGTTGGTTCTGACCCATAGTGTCCCTGTTTAGGGTTTTTAAAAAGCACCTGGTGGGTTTGAACTGCTGACCTTATGCTTCAAACTGACTTTGCAGTCCAGCGCATTAATCCACAGCACCACACTAGGACTCCATACATATATACACACACACACACTGTTATTTACTCCTCTTTATCCTAAAGGACCATCAACTCAGGTAATTAGAAGGGTTATTAGCTTGAACTCTGAAATTCCTTTGCCCCACTCCTTAAGGGCCAAGTCCACTTAGATACCATTTGGGAAGCGATTTTCTGTAATACGCTGTTCTTGGGAGGCTGCCCATGTTCCCTGGGCTCTGTGATAGCAATGAGATGAGGGAGGTCATGACACTGCAGTCCTTGACCTTGTAGAAAGGTGTCAAAAGTTAAAAAAAATAAATCCGAAAGGGAAAGACAATGGTTAACTGAGAGATCCACCCCTTCATATTTTTCAAACAACTTTATTAAGATACAATCCACATACCTTTCAATTAGCTGACTTAAATTAACCCATTCAATGGTTTTTAGTATTTTCCCAGATGTTTATCTATCATCCCAGTCAATTTGAGAACATCTTCAAAAGCTCAAAAAGAAACTAGTACTCTTTAGCTATTATCTCCATTCTTCAATTTTCCCTACCCCAGACCTAAGCAACTATCCATCTACTTTCTAACTATATAGAGTTTCCTGTTACAGATAGTTCTTATTAACAGTATTTCATGACTGACTACTTTCACTTAGCATGTTTTCAAGGTTTATCTATACTGTAGCATATGTCAGCATTGCATTCCTTTTTATGGCAACAACATTCTATTGTATGTTGGTAGATGCCCTGGAGTCAGAACCAACCCACAGCTACCTTATGCACAACAAATGAAACACTGCCTGGTCCTGCGCCAATCTTATAAGTTTACAATCATTGCTACGCTTGAGCTCATTACTGCTGTCCCTGTGCTAATCTGTCTCAATGGGGGTCTTCCTCTTTTCTCCGACCCTC